GGACATATTTCTGTCCCCCTATGAAAGGAGGTAAAAATGTAAAATCCATGAATACGGGCTCATTTAATAAGACGCGGCCTGGGATTTCATAAAGTGGTAAAAGACTGTGCTGCGTTTTAAATTTGATAAAAGACACTAGGAGACGCCTGCCATTGCCTTAATGAGCACGGAAAGCCTCTTCTGTGACCCTCTCTGATTTAGTTTCACTTACCCCCTGACTTTACCTAAACTCTGCCCAAGGAAAGCACCTCAGCTGGTCCCCAATCTCAGTGCAAAGTGGTCAGGGCTTAAAGGAGTTGTAAGGTCCCAGCATATCCTCTCCTGTTATAACATCAGCATTCTAGTAGGAATACATAGTAGACTTGTTTATGCCCATTTCTCAAGGCTACATACCCCATCATGCATTGCTTCACGCAAGCAGTGACAAGGGTGTGGAAATGTTTAAAAAAAACTACTTGTCCAAGGGCTAAAGCGGGGGCCGCATCTACTTGTCCCTCATGACAATCTACGTGTCCCAATACAACAAAATAGTTTTAATCAAAACTAGTGATGCACTGATAGGTTTTTGGGTATCGAGAGCAAGTACTGATATTTTGCTTTCTGTACTCGCCGATACAGAGTATCGGTGCTTCCATTGGCATGGAGCAGGCTTCCCGGGCAATCAGGAAGCTGGGCAGCGGGTAATTACATGCTAGCCAGCTTCCTGATTGCCAGGGAAGCCGACTCCATGTTGTTTGGCCGGCTTGATTGTGATTGGCCGGGAAAACGGCCTCCCAGCCAATCAGGAAACTGGGCGGCGAGTAATGACCTGGCTTGATGTTCAGGAAGCAGGGCAGCGACTAATGGCCCGCCTCCCGGTTTCCTGATTGGCCAGGAAGCCGGCTCAGCAAGGAGCTGGCTTCCCAGCCAATCAGGAAACTTGATGGCGGGTCATTAGTCGCTGCCCTGCTTTCTGATTGCATGGGAAGCTGGCTCCATGTTCCCCTACGGCACTGCCGGTCAGAGGAAATCTTCCGCTGACCGGATGTTCCAGTATTGGGGAAGGTACTCTGTATTGGTGCATCCCTAATCAAAATTGTATTTGACTGTGCTAAATAGTGCTTCTCATTGGTCAGCGTGGTCACCTGACCACGCTGACCAATGAGACATGAGACAATTTGCGAGCGAAAATCAAAATGCATAGGGCTGGACTGAGGTACGGGGTACAGATAGTACACCTGTACTGGCGGAGGGTAAGGACTGTTCGCCGAAAGGGAAGTATAGCCGGGGGATGGGTTTGGGAGAGATCGGGCCAGATTTGATCGGATAATTCCATTTTCCCATATTACTTGGGAAAGTGAACTTACCCTTTAATGAACATTGTGCGTGTAGGAGAGTTCTGCTGCCTGGCTACCACAATATGGCACACAGTGGAATGGCGGCAGCACTCAACGCACACACACAATGTCCTATGCATGCGTTTATTTGCATGCAGATGGCGGGGTTGTTTTTTTTAATGTTTACTTTATCACTTCTTTTTTTAATTTTTATATATTTTATTATTTTTTTATAACTTTTTTTAGTTTTATTTATAATTTTTTACTTTTATTTCCCCACCTAATTTAATTCCTATCACATAGGGGATTACAAATCCCTTATGTGATAGTTTGGAAGTGACAGGTTCTCTCTATGGAACCTGTCCTCCTCCAACACAGAACAGATGTTCTGTACAGTTCCTGACAGCTGAGATAGGTGGCGCTGTGATCACAGCGCCACGGTCTCAGCGATGACACAGAGCAGACGAAGAACAGACGTTCTTCGTCTGCTCTATTGTGAGCTCATGTGCCGTTGTCACAGCTCCCCCAGGGGAGCGGGGGACCCCAAAGACCACGATGGCGGGGGCCGGACACAATTGCTGCCGCTCCTTTCATTCAAGTGATCTAATCAGATCACTTGTATAAAAACGAGCGGCGGCCCCACGCTGTACATTTAGCTCTGCTTCTCCGGAGCGGGGCTAAATGTACAAAAAAACTACCAGGGATCCCAACCTGAAAGAAGCCATTTCAGGGAGGTGTCCTTCTCATTTCAGGGAGGTGCCCTCTACACCCCCCCCATCCGCGGAGGGGGGTTAGGAAGAGCGTCCAGGAGAGTTGGGATGTCTGAACTACTCGCCCGGCGCCCGAAAAACTGCCTGTCCCGGGCGTCGGCGATAGGAATTCCCCACCCCTGAGTGATAACGTTACATTGACCAGAAGTTGAGTTGTAGCTCAGGAGGCAGGATCTGTGACTTCAACACTACATACCCCATCATGCATTGCTTCCAGCAATTAATGACAATGTTACATTGTCCAAATGTTGAGTTGTAGCTCAGCAGGCAGGCTCTG